AAGGCCCTGCATCAGGTGTGAGGCCTCTTCCCCTGCCAGCCCCACCAGGATCCCTGCACCAGGCGTGTCAAGCCCCTCTCAGGTGGTGGAGACACTTTATAGCATGTCACAAAAAAACTTTCCCTTTCTTCATCCTGAATCACATCCTTTTTCCTCGCTTGGAAGAAAGCTGTTTAATTTATTTGGAAGAGACTTTGTTTCTCTGTTTCAAGGAGGGACAGAAACAGAAGCAAATTAACGAAAAGCCAAGGGCGGGTTACAAAGACCCACACAGCAGACCTCCTCCACGAGCATCCTTGAGATGCCCACCAGGGTGTCCCATTTAGCCTGCTTGATCCTGTAGAGGACCTGCCAGTACCCCCGGGCACCGGAGTCTCACAGCCTGCTGCCTGGCATCATCCCTCCGGGAGATCTGGCACAGATTCCAACCAGACTGTCATTTCCAGGTCAGTCTCCGCATTTCTGCTGACCACGTTGCCTCCATCATGAGATCATGTCTTTCCAGAGAAATCCCGCTAATGCCTTCATTCTCGAGACCGGTATATATAGGGGGAGCTTCCCTGGGGCTGCACTGCGCAGTCCAGCCAAGGCACCGCTGTCTCCCCAGCAGCTGCGCTGCCCGTACCGCTCTCCCCTCGCAGCCACAGGTCGCAGCAGCAGCAAGCATGGACATTACCATCCAGCACCCCTGGTTCAAGCGTGCTCTGGGACCCCTCATTCCAAGCCGTTTGTTCGACCAGTTTTTTGGAGAGGGTCTCTTTGAGTATGATCTCCTGCCTTTGTTCTCTTCCACTATCAGTCCCTACTACAGGCAGTCCCTCTTCCGCAGCGTGCTGGAGTCAGGCATTTCAGAGGTAAGGGCCCTTCGGCTTCCTCTCCTTTTTCTTCCTCTCCCTCTTTACGCCTCCGCCTGCTCCTCCCCACCCACAGCTTGCCAGCGTGGGCTGGCGGCTGCAGCCCCACACTGGGGTGTGAGGGGGTGAGGAGGACCTTCGGCCCACCACCAAGTATAGCCCACCCACCCCTTCTTGGGCACCGAGGGAAACCTTTGCTGGGGAGAAGGCTTCCCTTCAAGAAACGGAAAACATTTTGGCTCCCGACGGTTGTTTCCGACACATAAAAGGCCGCCTTTGCTTCCCTTGCACCTGCCGGCCGTACGGCGAGGGAAGAGCTAGGCTGCTCCTGGAGTAAGCACCCATGAGGGTAGCTCGGCGTGGGAGAGGACTCCAGTGAGTGGGAGCTTCCTCTGGCCTCCTCTTCTGCCTCAGGAGCTCTGTGGTTTTTGCAAGCCCATGCTGGAGGACCCAGGAGCAATTCTCTGAAGGCAGTGTGTAGGAGGAGCGTGTAGCCGTGGGGGCTGTGGGGACCGGTTCTTTCTCTAGTCCTCTCTTACTGGTTTCCTCCCAGAGCTAAGACCACAAAGAAACTATAAATTGCTGGAAGGACGAAACACATGCTATTGGAGAGTGTTACACTGGTTTCCATCTTTTTTTGCTGTTGAGCACAAATGTCCGGTGCATCTGGCAGTTCATTGGGTGCAAATGGGACCCCGGCACAAGAATAGTGTTGAGAAGTGACGCCTTTCCCCAGAGCAGTAGCAATGGCGCAGACGCCTACCACGGCCTCCCAAGGTCCCTGCAATGGGAAGGAGGACCCGCTGAGGCCCGTAGTTGCAGAAAGGAATACTGTGCCACCGCCAGATCGCCTGTTCTCCTGTTTTTAACCTGCAGCGATGCTGGCGCTGCCTCCATGCTCAGAGCTCAGGTCTTACTGTCTAATAATGTTCATTTCAGGTGAGGTCTGACCGGGACAAGTTTACAATCATGTTGGATGTAAAGCATTTCTCTCCTGAAGACCTGAGTGTGAAGATTATCGATGACTTTGTGGAAATTCATGGCAAGCACAGTGAAAGACAGGTAAGTGGAGGTGATGGTGGAGCAACTGGGGAGTCAAGCTCCATGTTCTTTCTTTCCAACAGTCCTCAGCTGAAGGAAAAAAAAAAGAATATATCAGAAGAAGGAGTTATTTATCGATTGCCATTATTGGCATGGCCCGTTCCCACAGAGCCCCAACCTGATATCTGACAATAACGAGCTAATCCGCTCCTCTTTTGTTCATTTGCAATCATCGTCTTCCATAACTGTCAGCTGACAATGTCCATTGTTCACTAATAACACTGGACCAGACAAAGAACATCATCGGGTGCTGCCAAAGCATGGCTGAGTTTTCATAAGCCAGAATTGTTAGTGAAAACAGAGTTTTCATGTGCTGATCTGGGAGAGAAAAGCAAGAGCAAACAAAACAAAAGAAAAACAACGGAGTGCCTCAGGCTTGGAAACTTTTAACACGTATGTCATGGAAATATCTGTGGGGGTCGAAAAGTGAATTATACCAGCAGGGGTTTAATTCTTCTCATACATTTTTTTGGCCAGACAAAGCTCTAGCCTGGAAACAGTATGTATTTTTTAATATAGTTATTTTTTCCAGAGGAAGAGAGCTGCCATTTTCACAGCTGACTTAAAAAAAAAATTGCATTTTTCATTCTTTTGGCCAAAAAAAAGGGGGCCAGGATTGTGTACTTTGGCTGACACAGCATTGCTGCCTAGTAAGGAAATACATGGGCGCACACACGCACTTTGCTTTTACCTTCGCAGAACCCCAGACTTTCTCTCCAAGCATCCTTTGAAATCGGAGGCTGTGGCAGGACCCCTGTCCAAATCAGATCCCCATCTATAATATGGCCAAAATCACACTGTGCTACTCTACTCAGCTCTTGCAGCTTCAGGGGCATCACGGGAGGGACACCTGCCCCTACAAACCTGTAAAATAGAATAAAAAGCAGAGATGCAGCCGGTGCTACTGGCAGTCCAGTGTCATGATAAGCCAGGGCAAATGTGGCCCTCACTCCGACGGAGCTGCGGGGTTGGGCGGAGGGAGGCACGGCATGGTGCTGGGGGTTTCTGACAGGCCTTCCCCCCTCTCCCCACTGCCTCTCAGGACGACCATGGCTACATCTCCCGCGAATTTCACCGCCGGTACCGCCTGCCCGCCAACGTGGACCAGGCTGCCATCACCTGCTCCCTGTCCAACGACGGCATGCTGACCTTCACGGGCCCCAAGGTCCCCTCCAACATGGACGCCAGCCACCGTGA